TTGCTTCCCATAAAATCCTCAAAACTGCAATAACCAAGCCAGTGAATCACTTAGATAAATAATACCAAACCACACAAAAATTCGATTGTCCCACCCATAGAGTGCTGTAGAAGCAAAGATTATTTGCATGGGAAACAGTTTGCCCTTTACATTCCCTCCTCTCTCTCCCTCTCTCCTTCAAAAAACTGTCATAATCACATCATTCTGATAACATCCTTAATTTTCACTAGCACAGAAAGGCTGATGGAGGCATAGAGCGAGGAAAGTAACACAAACACACACACTCGAAAACAAGGTCAGCTGTGAACTTTTCGCAGCTCTACAAATTTTGAAATTTAATCGTGTATTTGATGGCAGCGGGGCAGATCTGAAGATGAAAAGGTCAAGGAGCTCTGAAAGGAGAGTTGGGGGGGGGGGGGGGGGTGAGAGAATTCACATTTACCTAAGTGCTCTAGAGACCGAAATATTACCCGAGAACCTGATCGATCAAGCCCACACCGATTTTCATATCATGGATAAATATCATGCCAAGGGAGCATTCAAACACATTCATTTAGGGAACTGTGTAGCCAAAGTTCGTATTTAGGTGGAAATGAAAGAATAACCTGATGGGTCAATTTGAGCTTCGAAAGTAAATTCGGTGTCTGCTAGCTTGGAATTTGGGAGGTAAGGTTTCACTAATATACACCAAACAAGCGGTGTCGTTAAGGCCAGATATGGTACCGCCACCTAATGGAGTGTACATTTTCTTCCACAATGCGACTACTTTGAAGTGGGAGAGATTGGGACCTACAAACCAGTTGCATTTCCAGCAGATTACTCAGAGAGCTAACTCCAGTCAAACGCTTTCGAAATTTCAACAAGAAAAGCTTTAAAAGCTAAAAGAAACTAATCACAATTGGAAGTACGCAGGAAGCTCCTCTTCTCAGAAGGTGATATATTTACCCTCTGTCCAAATCGTAACTTAGACAAAAGCTATTGTTAAAATGAAGTAAACATAGAACAGATAAAGAGTATATTTAACGTGCTTAAACGACTATGGGGGCAAATTCGTGCACAAAGGAAGCAAATACGTGAACTATTCCCTTTTAGCCCCTATCTTATGAGTCGAGTCATTTTAGGGAACGCCTACCGTAGAAAAAATCTGGGTGAAAAATAAACTCAAACAATTAAAAATAAGCACAGTTTAATCACTTAGAGAAACAAATAGAGTAGCAAGATTTTATAACCTATTTTTCACCATTAAACCGTCTATTTTCAAGATAATTTTGTTGTTCCCTCTTCATGGAATTCATTCCTTTTTATACAACCCCATAATTAACTATTCGTATCACCCTACCTGAGCCCAATACGTTCGTTTGCAACGTGGCTAAGTGTCTAAATGCCAGAGGTAGATATGAAGAAGATTAATGGCCGTATCGCCTTTCAACCTCCCGTTTTGAAGTACTGTCCCTGCTCCTCACTCGATTCGCTTTCCGCCAACTTATTTGAACTTAATTCAACTAAATTTGAGAAGAAAATCAGGAAGAAGGGGCTATGAAAACTCGCTATAACTCTCTTGATCAATATGAATGATTACTTAAACATTCATGACATGAATACTAGAGGTGATTTGTCGAATACTGTGCAATTAGTTAGAGCAATATTTGCAATCAAATAACGAATTGAGCGGAAACTTCGTGGATTCCCGAGAAAAAAAACACTAAGGCAAACATTTGTGAGGATAGGAACAAAAATTTATCCCAAACATATTACTTGACATGTTAGAAAACACAGGTCTTTATTAATACTAGAAGTAGATGGAACGAGAGTTTGCATATCATAGATGAATTAGGTATTTCAACTAGATTGAGACATTGTTAGCCCCAACTAAGCAATTGTAGGCACTGTTTTTAAAAATGAAATATTTTTAATGGGAGTTCACGGAGTCCCTATCGAGTGTTAGATTGAACTAAGCCAACCATAAAAGGGAGAACGAGAAGAGCAAGCGGGAAGAGTTCACTAAAAGACAAGGATCTTTAAACCATCCACAATCGACCATCGATATGTTTTGGGATAGTAGTGGTGAATCAATAAAATATCAATGTTACACATAATGAAATGGAATTACCGGGCACACACACACACACACACAAAATATAGATTCATGATATTGGCATTTCACGCAAGTGGCAACTATTAAGAAAATATGGTTTGCCCAGAATATGTTCGAGTGAAAAAAGGGTTTGCAAAAGACATAAAACGGTCTTAAAATGAGCACGGGGTGCCTTTTATCCAATCAAAATTAATAATAACTATGAGTTAAAGCAGTCCTTTCCAGATACTGAAGGGGCATATAATGGAGGCCAATGAAAAAGATTGATCATCCACGCGAATAGAAGAAAGGATTATAATGAGCTGTGATTATCTTCGCGACGACCTCATACATGAACAACCTGGGGGTTCAATTATTAATAACCGAAAAATTAAGACCATATACACTTAACTATGACTACTGTGGATAGCCTACAAGACCACCTAAATAAAATAAGTATGAATGACCACCAGAGAAAGTTTACTTATAAAGAGCATTCGTTAGCTCATTTAGGAAGAATGCAATTCTTAGACACAAACAGGACTACTTTAACAGCATTTGTGGACCTTGTAGTGTCCTATAACTTCAAGGGACTGCAATTTGCATTTGGTTAAGGGAGACAGTTAGTACTCAATTTCAAGTCATTCGGTGATTAGTCATGAACTAGGATGGCTACGGAGATGTATCATTTACAGGCTTTCTTTTCCAAGTAAAATTTAATTATTACGAATGGCGGGCTTGATGATATTTATTATTTGCGCCTTAGCTGACTTCGGGCTTCACAGAGGAAAGGAGGAACATCAAAGTGGCAAAAAGTCGAGAGGGGGAGAGAATAATGATTCAAAGATGTGACAGAGACAGACTGACAGACACAAAGGCAGAGAAAAGTAGGATAAGTATTGTGGAAGTGATCGAATGAGACATACAGTGGGATCATGGTAGATTGAAGTCAGAAGTCGACTGCCGATTTATAGACTGCTTTGCCGTATGAGAATGCGTTGCTCGGGGTGCACCGCGTGGAGGTAAACTTAAAATTAATGATTGCACACCTGTGCTGATTTCTAATTCCGGCCAGGTCATACAAATACTCTTTCTGTAAATAACGAGTACTCCTCCTGAAAATGCGAACTTCACGTATTTATAAAGATGACGCATAATCTAGACTTTCAGCACCCAGGACCAAATGGTCCACACCAGAAGAAGGAAAATGACGAGCACTCGTTGGTGGAGTTAGGACTTGCAGTTCGGTTCGAAGTATGCACAGTACAACGCAAAGATTAGGGTTAGGGATTAGAGGTATTTTCAAGGAGAGAAAATACTAATAGGAAAGAAAACACACAAAACATGGAATTCGTCATAGCAAAAAACATTTAATATTCCGATTGACATAGAAATTTAGACGAGAAGAAGAATAGCTAAAAATCTGTAAGGATGTAATGCGCAGAAAAAGATGACTAATTGAGGATGATACATTTCCACTGATTGACTGGGAAGAAAATGTAGAATTTCTTCTTAACGAAGCACAAGAAAAAGTGTAATTTCAACTTCATGTCAGTTTTGAGGGTGACAGGTAGATATGCCACTCTTATTTTTTTTAAGTTACATGTAGCAACGGCAAATTGGGAAATTGAAGGTCTTAACGATTGAAGCAATTGGGGATTTTGCACTCATTGAATCAGGAATCGGCATTATTGACTATTTCTAACGATAACAACCGATTTTTCAATTTGCTGTGGCATAAGGAAGGCGGTTAAAGTCCAAAGGGTTTAAATTTTTGCTTCGCAAATATGAAAGAACTTCTGCTTAAGTTGAAGCACAGAGTAAAGTACGGAATTAATTTACTCTGAAAACCACGAAAGATAAGCATTGAAAAAGCAATGTGTGTATCTGCTGAGTTTAATGAGAACGGGTGGAAATAGATTTGAAAAGACAACGCGACCGATTTAATTGGCCGACCTTGATGTAGGAGAATCCTACTCAGTTGCTATTGAGACATCAATAAACGGTGTTTAGGACTATTCGATGCGCATCGACGACGTACGCGTAGATGTTAGTTAAATCCTCTAAAATCAACAAAACTCACTATTTGGCAGGGTGTGGAAAATGAAGTTTTGTACAGATGCCTACTGACACGACTTTATTTCACCCATATATCCAATAGGAAGCTACTCCGGATTCAGCCAGAATAACAAAATTTATTTATAGCCGACAAGGTAGTAGGGCTTATATAGGTCAAACGTGGGGGGAGGGGTAAAGGTCAACAAAGGACAGGTAATTAATGGAGTAATATTCGTGAATAAAGAATCAGCAGGTCGCCACACATGATTAGCAGAAGTCGTTGCACATTTCGTAAATATTTTCACTAAGCCAAGGTTTCTACACAGCCATCTGATTGACCTACCTGCTGCCTAATGAAATCAATAATAGCTGCATGACATTAAATTGAAAATATGAGGCCGACTAGGACAACTTAAAAATGTTTCTATTTAACCAGTGATAATAGACGTTCCATAAGAAATGAAGGGAAAAATTGCGTCAGAAAGACAAAGAGCCCTCTGCCAACTAAAGGTAAGGAATGGCCATAATAAACGTTTGTACAACCGTTCCACAATAATTCATTAACTTGAAACTTGGTACTAGGTTTAGGGACCTGAGAAAAATAAAGTAAATTAAATAAATTAAAAAGCAGCTTTATTTAAAGGGACTAAGACAAAAACATCAGTTAAGATCGATTAATAACTCAAGAATATGACGACAAAGGGTAGTTATGTAGCCAAACAAAAATTTACCAACTAGGAGTCTCATATGGAGTCAAACAGGCCTTTAATCCTATCATAAGAACAAAATTTTCAATCGTATTTCCCCAAATGATGGAGTCTCAAAATAATATTTTTTTAAAATTTGCAATGAAAAAATTTTAATTGAGTTAAGCAGATGCGTAGACGCCTAAAAAATAGATATTACCGCTTGATTGGAAGCCTACATTTAATAAATTTAGCTCCATCAGCACTACAGAAAAACCATATAACTACACGTAGCTATCAAAACTTCTGACGTTCCCGAAAAAAACAAATAATGAACAGTTTACAGAAAAAATTAAGCATAAATAATCTTACCAGGACAGTAAATTTTTCCGAAAGCAACTCCCTCCTAACCCCATCTTCTAAAGGGTCGATTGCTTCTAACTGATTGCTATATCTCATGTGCTGAAATCAATAAAAAGTTTAAGTCGCAATCTTTATTCAAAGAACTCGAATTAATAGACATGACTAACTTACCCTGTAGGATTTATATAATTCCAACGCTCGTGTAACATCAAACTTTCGAGCGCGAAGGAAGAGCTTTGCTATTTTGGCAGCGTCTACCGGTTCAATCATGGCACCATATGGTGTTGTCCGAACTCTGTTTACAAATTCTTGAATTTTCTATCGAAATAAGACACATTCGAAAAAATATAGATACCAAAAAAGACCTATTTAGCACACATTAAGAAAAGTTACCTGATTACGAAAATCATCCCTCTCCATTTAGATTGTTAAATAAGGTAAAGATGAGGAAAATTTGCGTGGAGTAAATCCCCAGATCAAAATGAAAAATATTCTAATATCCGGGATAAGTTTTAAGATATCTTGAAATGATGTCTAAATGGAGAACATAATTAAGACAATTAACAAACTCCAAAAATGATGCTATCGACCGATTTCAATAGAGTATGCTGAAATTAGTTAGCTTAAACACAAACAAATAACCTTAAAAATATACGAACAGCCAAATAGTCCTTAGTTATTAGTTAATAGGATTATGCTACCTTGATTTCGTTATTATTCAAAGTTTTAATCAATAAATGTATTTAAGTGGCAGAGCTATTTTCATTTATTTATTATTTATTGAATTCGTTGTTACTATTTACTATTAACAAGTAATGCTAAAATGATTTAGCAGTAGTAAAAATGAATTAATGTATTTCTACAAATAATTAGTAATTTGATCACCAATTTTCATACGATATTATGAAGTAATAATTCAGTTATTATTTGACCTTTAGCATATTCTCCTTTTACACATCGCAAAATATTTTGCTCATAATTATCATTTTTTCTATAGATTTATAAAATCTGAATATCTAAACGAGTTAATTGATTGGGGAAAGTTTATACAACAGGTCTACATTAACTAAATTTTGGATGACAGCATTGTTCATTCGTTTCGAAGGCACCTTCATGGAGGGGCCTTGATCGGAATTTCACTAAAATGCAGAAAATGAATTATTCATCAATTTGAATTAACAATTTAAGAATGCTTATGCTTGCAAAGGGGGGGGGGAATATTAGAATGTAGACAAACATTATTCTGATCAATGCTTAAATTTTTATACTTCATCTATATTTGCATGTAACTAAGAGATGAGACAGTGAAATTCGAAGAATTATAATTGTAATACTTGTTAACTTAGCATAAGAACTTCGTGACTTGGACTATTTTGTTCAGTCAAAGAGGGTTGATACCCTACTCTGCAAGATGTTCGTAGGTATATATGTATAAATATAATCAAAGGTTTCCTGTTGGGTAAGCGCAAGTTAGACTAGTTAATTACCACTTCTGTAGTAACTATTTAAAATTCGTTTTAAAATTCATTTCTAGATACAACAAAAGTATGAGGTTTTGAAATTTTTGTGTAATCCAAACGATGTGGGAAGCAATGATAAATCATGTCGCAGTTCACTAACCTTCGGATCGGTACCCTAAGCTACTCAATATTGAGACGCCCCAATTTTCAAGTTTCAAATGCCGCAAATTAATTTTCGCATTTATTGGAATGAAAATTTATAAGTCGGTAAAAAATTTCAATTATTTCTTGAAATTTATTTTTATACTAAATTATCCCTAGGAAAGAATATGACTTTCATATACCAACACGCATTTCATGCACATTTTTTAAGTGAACCATAAAAGAAAGACTTTATGCGCTCTGGTTTACAAAATCATGGCTTATAAATTATTCCGATGGTAGTAAAACAGGTACTGGAACTTGACTGGCAGCCACAATTGTTTCGACACATCAAGGATGCAGTATTTTTAATGCAGTTTTCGTGAGCGACTCCAGGGTACTAGCTTTTTTCCAACATGATAGTTATCATTAATGTTTCTTTGGGGGCGTAAGCGACTTAAGTTAAATATCCCAACCCAGAATCAATGGCCTTCCCTAGGCTTTACTGAATGACTTTACTGACTTTGTGTAAGCTGAATAAATGGAAAAGGAAAGATATGGGAATTGAAAGGCGTCAGGTTTGTTTAAGGCAGCACGAATGTTGATAGGTTGGTGTCAATAGGTGGCTACAAGTCCGTCGTTCGTCGACGAGCAACTTCTCAAGAAGCAGCTAATAAAATTAAGTCATGTACATAGGAATCACGATTGAAAGTCCTCAAAGTCGTTTCCAATATTCTAATCTTCCTTTTACTTAGAAGGGGATTCATATATGAAATTTTCAGCCGTATTCAACTATTTAACCTGATAGGCTCGCGGTTGCTACAATTCCCAGATGTGCCTATTTCAATCTGATATAACAGCACTGTTTTTGATCAAGAGATCTAAAACTAAAGCAGAACATTATAGACCTTAGTTTTCCAAAAAAAGTCTTGATTACTTAATTCAGTGCCTATGAGTTAATTCCCTAACTGAAACAATCAGTACCTGTGCTAATAAATTTTGCCCCTAATTTTTCTCATAAATGCGCTATCAATATTATGCAGTGCGTATTCACTAAGTTGGTTGCCATGACTCCCAATGCCTTAGTAACCTTTGGTTACAATAAAGTTATTTGAGTCACTACTTTCATTTTCCCACTATCTCTGTTATTTTGAGTCCACTAAATTAACTGCTAAGAGTTGGTATGTTGTACCCTTCTGTATGTTATTTGGCAAAATCAATAAAATTCAATCAGAGTCAGTATACCAACATATTTTTCGTTCCTATTTTTACTTATTTATGAATATTTGTATCATTTAAACTTGAATAATAAGGGAAAATTTCATTTGTGCTTTAATAACTGGTTATACCTTTTGAAATGATCTGAGTTAACTGTAGCAAAAATATGTAATTCTTCCTACTTTCAAAATATTTATATATGGAAATATTTTCACACTTAATTCATCACATTATTTGTTTTGAATTCCAAATATTAGAGAGTGAAATGATAATTAAAACAAATAAATTAAGTAATAATAAAGTAATTAACCTCATGAACTAGTTACAAATCCTTGTACTCGATAAAAACATGTATTTTAAGAGTTGAATTTAACCTAAAAGTATACATTATATTACAGTATTTGAAATATTAATATTAAATAACCAATTTAAAAATATTTATTTTATATTTCCTGGAAAAAAAGCTATTTTTACTTTTATCCCTCAGAATTAAATTATAGACAGAAACGCCATCTTGTATGAAGCCTTTGACTACAATTAATGCTAATTTCTAGACCTTTTGTTGAGCTCTCTACTGAGAAGCTATGTTGGAAGCCTTTTAAAATCCTGCCCAACTCAAATTCTCATATAAAACTATATTTGCAAAATTGCTGTTACTCTTGCCAATGGTGGGATAAAATAAATACAAATCATAATTAAGCGAAAGAATTTTCGCATGTGGAACAGCGGAGAAGTGTGCTTTCAGGAGTTGAGCTCTGAATGAGAAGGGGGTGGGGGTGAATAGCCAGGCTATCGAATAGGTCATGCTGCATTTTTGCCTAACCCCTCCCCTCCCCC